ATACATTTGGGACACAATATCTAGTTTATGTTTTATACACTGTATATGTTCCTTTATACAGTAGTAATGGGTGACAATCAAGTGTTCATTCTATTAGAAGTAAGATTCTGGTTATACTGTAGATTTCTCTACAGTATATTCCAATTGTGAGTTCAGAAGGATCCGATAGTAGTTTGTTTTATCTATTTTTGTTGTGGCTACAAATATATATATATGTTCTGTCTTTACAGTAAGTATCCTTGAATTTCAAATTCCACCAATGATTCCCTGCATGTTGTGTAGGTTTTCTTTGTTTTGAAAATGGGAACTGTATTTTACTTATTAAAGCTATTGTTAAACATTCGGTTGTTTCTTGTGACTGTGGATATCCAGTTATATTCTTACATATACAGTAAAGTACATACAGTATAAGGATTAGTCTTTTTTTCTTACAGTCAAAGCTCCCATATCCAGAATGTATTTAACATGGATTTATATGCTTAGAAAACTATTTTTTATGCTAATAAATGACATGATGCTTTATTCATTGAGGTTAAAGAAATATTTATATTTCTCATAGACTTTTTCTGCATTGCATGTTTCCAATTACTCCTTTGTGAGGATTTTTTTTTTTAAAAGCCTGTTGCTTGGTCTCTAATTGTTTTTGAAAGTGTGTCTTTTTCTGCTTAATATTTTCCTGAACAGGAAATTCCAGTTTTCAACCCCTGGGCCACATTCACATGTATATTTGAAAAAGAAAAAAAAATCATTTTCATGTGATCATTTGTTAGGCCTTAGGGTAAAATTACATTTCACAGGTCTCTTGTTCCCATGGTATAGTAACATGAGATTGATGTCTGAAATTTTAACTATATTTGTTTTACAAATTTGTGTAACTCTCAAGAGAATAATTTGCTTAAATCACTCAAAGGCTGGCAATTTCATTGGTATGACCTCCGGATTCTGACTACATTCCTCGCACTTTCCTGTGATGAAGAAGGTAGTAGATGCTTTGCATTTTGAGTTCAAGGTAAAGATTTAATAAACCAATTCAGCAGTAATTAATAGAGAAACATCTGAGGAAAGTAAAGCTAAAGCTTTTATGGAATACTGTATTATTAACAATTTAAAAGGAATAAATGTAACGGATGTTAAAATGAGTAGAGCTCAAAACTACAGTTGGTAAAAAGTGCTGATGGATAGATGTCCTGAAAAAGGAAGCTTGGAGAGAAAATATATTATTTGTGATCAGATTTGACAGCAGAGGTACATTTAACATTATTTCACTATGACCAACTCTATTTACTTGCCTTTTGTTCCATGCTCTTCCATTGCGATGATGAATATGGGGAGGGAAAAGCCATATTGCTGCTGAGAGTGGTGTTAGTGGACCATATCCCAAACAATGTCTCGGTAGGATGAATGGTGTGTACATCAGATGAGAGGCTATACTGAGGTCCTACACTTGGTCATTCAAGATCCCATGGCACTGTTCATATGAGTAGAGGTGTTAACCCTTGTGTTTCCCCCATGGGCTAAATTCCTCTCTGAGTCTGCTGAATCTATCTAGAATTTCTTCTAGAAGCATTTTTTTTATCCTTGACCTGATTTTCTATGTAGTGGGGCTGCTGGCAGTAAGGTTGTGTGTCAGTGGTGTGTGAAGTGGATTCCCTCCTACAGCATACAGTATATGTAAAAAGATTTGGGATAAAACCTTTCACCCAAAAGGTGAAATATGTATATAAGTATGCTATATATAGCATATATGCTATATAGGTGCAATCAATTATTATTATATTTAATTGTCTTCTGTCTCAAAGCTAGCAGCAATAATTTAAATTAGGTTGTGTCATTTACAATATAGACCTTTTAGAAATGGATTATAATAATAAAATATTAATAGAGGGACATGAATGTGATAATATCCCACCTCTACTGTAGATTAATTGGATATAAGCAATTAATCCCAATTTCTGAACATATCATTAACCATAGGTCTAACCAAGGGTTATCATAAGAATTTTATTTTGGCATCTTGTACAAAACAGTTGCAGCTCACAAGTGATACAAAAGTTATTTAGGAATATATTGTGCAAATGAAATGGGGGTAGTTTTAAAACATTGCCAGTTTTGTAGGGCCTTTTTAAAGTCCCTAAACAAAAAAATATAAATTTATGATCCTGCTGCTAGAAGTGGAAGACAAATAAACCTGTGGTGTTGATGTAAGCTGTGTTTAAATTTGTATTTCTTCTGGCACATTGAGCAGCAGTGGAAAGAAATCATTTAGTCGGGGCAGAATTAAACATTTAGAAACTTGTGAGTACTAGAAAAGGGCATTTAGAATATAATTTATGTACCACGTGTGGTCTCGGGAATTGCAGGACAATTTTATTGGAAACACTGTACTATCTGTGAAAGTACCAGGGTGGCAAGTAATGCAAAAATAATTCCTATGGCGAATATCCAGTAAAATTAATGGTGCCCATCTCCTAAACACCGTTTGGCTTCAGTATTTTTTCTCTGTCTTTAAATATATGGATAATGTTGTTTGTTTTATAATATAGAGACATCCTCATACTGTATGGTCTATATAATACAGAAAGTATTTCTTATGTCAGACAAAATAAAATAATTTTAATATGTACTCGTTTTTAAACTACAGAATTAAAAATGAATTTCACAGTTCGCCCCACAGTCTAAGGTACTTGATTTTACCTTAATTTCAACACCCAAACACAAGTGAATGTGGTTACAGCTAGCTAATCAAACACTAGTTTTATTGCAAAGCCTGATGTGATGTGAGCAGTGTTACTTACAACACTTTGCAAGAACATTTCAGAAGACAGTTTTGGATAAGCCTTTGAACATAGACATGTCAGGGTTGTCAGGCTTTAATGGGTTTCTCTCCTTGTTGTTTCCTCTATTCAATAACCAATTCTCAATTTTCTTTATTTTTTATCTCATTGGGAAATGTAAGAATCTGGAGTACCTGATATTAAATATTGCAATTTAAGTCCACTGAGGCTGTAAGCAAAAATCTTAAAACTGGTTAACATACCATTTGAAAACTATGAACTAGAACTCTTAGGAAACAATGTTCTGGTTATATTAAAGTATTAGCATAGTAACAACATTGTTAGAATCATATACAATGACCAAAATCAGTCTTTAATTTTATATTCTCTCTATTTAGTAAGAGTACATGAGATTTCCTGATGGATTAGCATTTGGAAGGTTTTGCAAGCTTGTACAATATGTCTCTCCCTTCTATGACTGTAGAATATTTGTAATTGGCACAGATATGGAGACTTAAGACTTTTCTTCTCAGCATTCATTCCTCAGTAGCCACCCGTCTATCACATCAACCCATTGTTTTAACTTCTGGGGGGGAGGTGACTACTTCATTTTCATGGTCAAGATCCTATCCCTTAAGTCAATGACTGAATTAGAGGCAAGGAATGTCCAGCTTCATTGAGTTTTGATAAAGTTTCAAATACAATACTTGTTGTCTGTATCTCCTGAACTCAAAATACTATACTACTGTATACTGTAAAGTATCCCATCTGCACTATCAAGACCACAAGGACTTGTAAAACATTTTGTCTTTCTAATAGTATCGGGACACAATTTCTAAACTGCTGATAGGACCTTGTTTTAACTGCTCAGAAGATGTTCTCTCAGCCAGCAAATAGCACACCCAAAATCTTTTTTTTACAGTATGCATACTGTAAGTCTACAGGAATAATCTATGATTTGTATGAAATAATTTTTTTCCAAATTAGCATTATAAAATTGCATAAAAGTATCTAATATGCTTGGAAACTGACACATTTTAATACTATTTAATACACAACAAACAAAAAAATCTTAAATTGAGGATTAAATTATCACACATTAACAGATTTGCTGAAGATAATACCACACAAGTTATAAAAGCTATTCCACCACATTCATTGTCTACTTCTTTTGTAAAAGATGAGCTATCACTATTAAACCATAATATACAGTATAAAATTGTTTGGGAGAGACAAGATGAAAAGCACAGGTGCACCCTGTAGTTATTTATTTTTCCTTATATCTTAATATCTAAAATATATCTTGTGTCTTCTCAATCTCCTGTAAACTGAATTAATAGCTATAAGAACACTCCATGGGCTTACATAGACAAGATTATATGATAGACGCATTTTAAGCATACACTGTATTCATAATGAAACTCTAATGAGATAAATGTGACATATATACAGTACTGTACAAAAACATTGCCTTAAATGTATTTAGTCACACCCTATAAACACCCCTTTTTAGTCAGTTTTGTGACTGTTGTATAGGTAATCATTATAATACCACTTGGGCTAAATTTTAATTTACAGAATCGTTACAAATTAATGAAAAATTGAATTGGATACTTAGATTCAAGATTTTACAAAATGCATTTTTTCCTAATTGAATATGGTCAAAACATACAGTAAGTAGTCATGAGCAATCACATGAAACTGAGTGTATATTTTCTGTTTCTGCTTCAGTTACTGTTGAGTCCCAGATGAAAACAATGCATTACACCATCAGGGTTACATCTATTGTAGCCATGGCTTGTCTCAGGCTTATGAACAGTAAATATGAAGAAATAAGGTCCTTAAGAGTTCTGTTTCTGTGGTGATTACATGTGAAAAAGAGACTTCTTTAATGCCTGCTTTGATTGAAATAATTTGCAAATGGCTGCGTACCAGCTCTATAGGAATGGTAACAATATAGTGAATTTCCGACTGCAATGCAATATTGAACATAGAAAGAGCCTTTCTGGTTTAAAATACCTGTCGGGATTTTTTTTTTCTTTTTGGAAGAATGCTATACTTTGCCATAACACATAAATTGATTAAAACCTGAATTTAAAACAGCATAAATCCCCGACATTCCCACAGCAAATTAAATCAGGTTTAGGCAAGTTGATTGTGACTACAGTATTTAGTTAATGAAATTAAAATTATATTTTGTAAGAGTTTAAGCATTAGACAGCAAAATGAAATTCAAGCCTGCCACTCTTTTAATAGTCAATGAAATGAGCACAGTGCTTTAAACAGACAATAATAATATATAATAAAATACAAGCAAAAAGCATCTGTAATCTTCTGTGGTGTACATAAAAATAACAGTCAGGAATGTAAAAACCAAAGCTTCTTATCATGAAAATAATATCATGTCTTTAACCATTTAACTACTAATAATGGATGCAGATATCAGAGACACAGAACATCAGAATTCAGAGGGTGACACTCCACTGAGTACATGAATTAAAACACATTGATGATTCCCTTTTCAAAATAATAGCACAGTCTGGCAAAAGCACCCCAGCTGCCCACTTCAACACACAGGTAAAAGGTTAAAATTATGTACAACACCCACAGTTTGGTAACAGAATAGATAACCTGTATGAATTTGCATATACGTCTCCAAATTAAAGTGTATTTCCTACTCTCTTTGGCACTGGAAGAATGCTGGTATGTTTAGTTGAAGTCGTCAAAGTTAGAATGCATATATACAGGAAATTCTTGCTTTGGCATTGTGCTGGTAGTCCTTGCATAAGTATTTCAAATACTAAGGAATACAGTCTGGAAAAAAAGGATTTTTATGGCAATGAGCAAAAAAGGTGAGTTATTTGTCAGAAATACAGTGAAATTTTTTGAATGCTTGCCAAAGTTTCATTTTTAATACTGTACATCCACTACAATGTTTATATAGAAATTACAAAAAAATATATAAATAGTGAAGATTATTCGCTTATATTCTTTGAATCTGACTGTTGATTGCAATTCTTGGCCCAATTTTTGCCTTTTAAAATAAAAAAAAAATTATAAGCAGTGAAAGCTACAGTAAGTATTGGTGTTACACAAAAAGCCCCATTGGTGATTTGTTAAAGTGACTATAAATTTAAGGACAGTACAATTCTATACATTAAAGCTAATGATTATCTCACACATTTCACAGCTCCTCATCAATCAGAGCCTAGCTGATGTATTTATTTAATCTGAACTCATGATACTGTAAATAACACAAAATAAGGTTTAGAATTTACTAAACACTCCAAAATAAAGTAAAAAAATCAAATAGAAAAAAAAATTAAACCACACTTAATAACCCAGCAGGATTAAAACCTCATTTTTGTCATTATTTAGTGCATTTATTTGATTTACATTAAATTGGCTGCCTCCCTTATTTCAGCCAGGTCAATGTAAAAATTGGAAAGTTCTTTTGAGTAAAAAGTAAATCTGTTTTCGATGTCAATCATCTCTTATTGAAACTTGAATTGCTTAAGTAGAATATCATTATCAAGTGGTTTCTCTCTGTTTTGGGTTTACATTACCAAGATTATATTTAAAACTTTTTACACAGAAAGAAAATGGTTTATCCTAAAATGTATAGTCACTTTAAAAAATAAAAAAAATATATGAATACTTTTTACAGCCATTATCAAGATACCTTTTCCTAGACAAAACTAATTAAATTGTTATTTTTCTCTCTGATGTTTAGGATGCTACTCAGCTTGACAGCAGAGTTTTTTCATGAGGTACAACAGATTTGCAATCCATCTTTACAGGAAATACTTTCCATTTGCACTGAATAAAATACTGTTTTCAGTGTGTTTGGAACACTAAATTTAAGCAGACTTTTTAAATTAGTTTTACACATTCCTGTGACATAGTTAAAAAAAGTAGACATTTTTAAAAAGTGCACAAAACATTATACGAGTGTAATGGAAGATAAATATCCTTTGGTTTTCTATTTTACATTGAGAATTATTCCTTCAAAGTTCAAATATCACATCTTATTATAATGATATCCACATCAAGGCGAAACATAAAGGGACAATTTTTCTGTACCTTCTCAAATCATGCTTAAGAAACGATGCAATAAAAAAATTATTGTGCATTCTCACTCAGTAATGTGGGTATCTTATGTAGTCCCCAAATAGTCTTGTCACTTTGGTATTAAATAATAGTAAGAAAATCTTTGATACAGAAGCAGGGTGTTTTGATATCTGTGCAGTCCCAGCTTTCTTGTCCACTTAAAATACTGGGAACCCAAGTCATAAATAAATAATCCCCCATCCACCCACCAACACACACGCACACTCCTCTTCCCCCGCCCCATCCTAGTCTCTCATCCATGCCAGGATCAATATCTCTTAACATCTCACTTATTTTATTACTGCTTTTGGTTTTCTGGGACTGATTGAAAGTTGCTCAGAGGAAATCTTTGGTTTTGCTTAAGTGTCCGTGACATTTAATCATGACTTTCCTTGCAGTTTAATTCCAGCCAGTCAATCAGTTAATCCACTTCAATTGATTCTGTGCTCTCCGTTATCGGCTTGCACTCATTGGGCATCCTCTGGTGTCGACTCAGCTGGGTGGCCTGAGTGAAGCTCCGCTCGCACCTCTCACACCTGCAGAGGCAAAGCAGAAAATTGAGACCAGGGATCTGACGGCCCTCATGTCCTGCAGCCTAATCACAACCGACACTTAAAAGTACCTGGAAATTTTACAAGGCTGGAGGGGTCTAATTGGTGACTACTTCTCAGACCTTGAAGCCTATGATGGGACAGGGCCCGCATGATTCAGAACAGAGGGCTCTGTCAATAACCTAAGAGGAAGGTGATTTCTCCAGAGAGACTTGTCCAGATACAGCCTGGATCACTGTCACTTCAAATAGATAAAGAACAAAAAGAGATTTTCAGTGGCCAGCTATCAAAGGGAGCATCTTTTGTGGTTTTATGCTCCGCAACCCCAAGGAGAAATGGATAACAAAATGACTTTTAGTTACTGCTAATTCATCCAGCTCTGAGAAAACATACACATACTTTACAGTTTGTTTCCTGAAGTAATTCAGTTAATTGTACACCATTTTATATAGGTAGCTCAATATGTTAATAACATAAATGCATTGCAGGCGCTTTTATTATAAAAGCTAATGGCATTACTAAATTAACAGTACTATGCATTCAGGTAAGTTTAGTTTCAAAGGTATGCATTGTTTTAATTATGTTAGTTAATTCTTTTTTACATAACCTAGAGCTTCTAATTGTATATACTCTATATATTAATAATACTATAAGAAACTTATTTAATTTCTTTGGGGAAATGTTGTAAAGTGATCCTTTTAGAGTGAATACCAAGTGGTAAACTGATTAGACAGCTCATCATTATTACATAAAGTGAGCTGATTATATGATACAGTATATTGCTAATAACAATATTGACATTTTTCTAAATTGTTTTAAAAATGTACTGGTAGTCATTTTACTGACCCTACTGTTTATCTTTTAAACATTTATCATTACATTTATCATTACCAAATTACCCATTTTTATTAGGTTTTCATATCCAATAATCACACTTTGTAGTACACATAATCATTACAAAAGTGTAAATTTTTTTCATATCTGTTTTTAAAAAACTATTTTTTTAAATCATTTACACGGATGGTTTTTCTGCTAAAAACTATTCTTTGATCTTGACAAATACAAAATTCCAGCTTTAATGTATCAAACCTCTCAGTTCAATGAAAATAACTCAGGAGTATTGATCTACTAAAGACTTCTTGGTGTATTCATTAATGCCTTTGTGGGCATCATCCTCTGAGGAGCTTCTGAAATGCTGATGACACATTTGTGTATCACTGATTGCTTATTAGAAAACTGATTAGTTACTGGATTAGTATGCCCCAAATAAACTTCTATCACCAGCAAAACTTGCCTGCTACTGTGTTTTTGTTTGAAGTATTAAGGCATTCTAATCGATACTGTTTATTAATGGTTTGAGTGGCAGAGAACGCATCAATTGCCATTTACAATTTTGTTTGTATATGGACCATTAGTCGAAGCTATTGAAGATATTTTACAGTTTGAATAATATTAAGATAACATTGAATCTTTTTTCAGTAAAATATATTTAAAATTGTCTATCAAAAGAGTAATTCATTCTAGAGTGTTTTGTTCCTGATTCTTTAATAGGGATCATATCCTTAAGGAAGAGGAGGAAGGTAAATATTATAAATATTAGTTCTGAACCTGAAGACAATAGTGAGGAAAAGCATAAGGAAATCTCACTTAACAAGAAAATGTACTGTATTATTTTTATAACCTGTTAGTTCGTTTTAGTTTGTAGTATAATAATAGTCATATTATTAGTCCTCAAGACATTTAAAAAATGTATCTCACGTACAATTGTGAGTATTTTGTTTTAGTTTCTGTGTGCATTAATGTGACTGATCATTTTCAAGTTGCTTTAATATATTTGTGTCAGTACATGAAAAGCTCTTTTATGTTTATGACTTATCTAGTATGGGTATTATTTATTATTCCATATTTGGTACTTTACTGTTGAAATGCAACTTATTGAGTGCTAGTAAATAACTAATTATGTTTAATATCTACCTTATCAGAAATAAATGTGATATATGTCTTAGTTATTAGTGCCATTAAACTTTATATTTCTTTATTAGTAAATTAGCATCATTTGTTAAGTAATAGTACTGTATGTCAGTATTTCTGAATAATTTGAATAGGGCTTGAAAAATATTTTCATCACAATTTGATATTATTTAGAATAACCTACCCTTCTTTAAATGTAATAGATATGGTTGCAGTTAGCATCTTAATAGCTTTAATTAGAGTTGCATGGTAGCTTTATTGAAAACATGACAGACATTAGGTGTTAAAAAATTAACTGGAGTCAACAAGGTCACACATAAGTAAAGCACCTTTAAATTAATAGAAATCTATTTTCCATTCTGACCCTTAAACTCTTTCAATTAATTACAAAAATCTATTTACACTGAAACCCAGATAAAATCAATCAGATTGTTGGAAATCTTTACAAATTGCTTTCCATGACTCAGGGAATATTTGCTAAAAGGCTTCTGTACTCATGACTCAAACAAGCAGTCAGAGACAAGAATAAGGATCAGGTTTTCGTCTTATATTTGACCAAATGCATTTTCCTATGCAGACCTAACAGATACTAATGATCACAATCTATAAAAAGCCAAACACATTGTACACTTTACACATAAATAAACTTTACACTGTACAGAAATACACACTTTCTATTCTAAGTAGATATTATTCTTACTTAGGGACTGCAAATGAATGCTATCAGTTTTTGTTGGATACAGTCTGGACTCCCACATGACTGTGACCACACCTCAATCATTAATAACATGTCTCTTCACTAGCCACCTAGGGACACTGTTTATGTGAACTGCTCCAAATCAAACAGAATCATGGAGATTATGTGCCTTTTTTTTTGTAGAAGAAAGATAGAAGCAGTCCATATCATTAACACAACTGTACACTAGAGACATGGATATCTAGCCTTTAAAAGTCTTATCAGGGGTATAGAAATGCTGCATAAGAAGCTGTGGTACTCACTGTTACTTACTTGAATGGCTTCTCCCCGGTGTGTGTGCGGATGTGGTTGTTGAGGGTTGTCGCCCCAGCAAAGGCGCGCCCACAGTAGCCACACTTAAAAGGCCTGTCGCTTGAGTGGGTGACAACATGATTCCGAAGCTCAGAGGGCTGGGAGAAGGACTGGGAGCAGTGCCCACACTGGTAAGGTCTAGATGCGACACAACAAAAACTGGTATTAATCTACTGGTGAATGGATCTCCTTGTCATTGAAAATGTTGTCTAATAAAATACATGATGCTTTTCTAAATATTAATGTACATACGGTATACTGGGACATACAAAGGTATAAAGAAAATTCAGCTGTCAAAATAAGTTACATTTTGCAAAACTAGTGATTCAAGTTTAAAATTGCCCATTTCCTGGAAGAAATCATTATCTTTGTGAAACATGAAAAATGGATGTCAGTTGATACATAGTCGTATGGAACAGCCTGATGACCTAAAAAAAACTGTAGTGCTTCTGCTAATTGGTGGTTACATCTAATTTGTGTTGATGACCAATACCAGATCTCTAAAAAGTCCCGGGACTTTTCTAGTTCTTAAATGCCACAGTCCGTCAGGTGTCCTCTTAATCTTTAAATCATAAACAAATTAGGAAGAGAGGAAAGGCTTATCCTGGAGTTCTATGGGTCCTTTAAGGCCTAACTAAGCAGATTTTTCAAAAGGTTTTCAACTGCTGATGTTTTAAACAGACACAGAAAATGCAGGATGGTGTCATTCAAAGATGAAGGCTGGAGATTCATGATTTGTAACTGTGTGAGTTCTGCTGTATTGAATATATTTTCTTATAAACAATTAGGATTGCCAGTTATTATTGTTACACCACCAATGTGAAACAGCCAGTTGGGAGTTCTTCCAGTTTCAGCTCTCGGTTATGATCACTACTACTGGACATAGAGGAGAATGAGGAAGAACAGGCTACCTCCTCCAACCCACACACATTTGAGCCACTCATTTTTTAGCACATTTTGGGCAGCACAGGCCTGTACTAGAGGTTCTGTCCAGAATGGAGGAAAGGCACATCCCTTCACCAACAAAATTGCATGCCTGCATGAGTCTGTGAGGTTGAAGGGATCACTGTTGTGGAGAGTCTACAGAACCATGGTTGACTAATCCCTGCCAAACCCTCAGCAGCAGTCAGCCAATTCTCAGCCAGCAAGTCTCACTACACTGAGTGTCTTTACAAGTTAAGCCACTCTCAGGAGGCCCACTCCTTAATATGGTTAATTAATTCCATGTGTGGCTTTTTAAGGTCAATAAAAAACTACAAAGAAAATATAGCACATACTTTGAAATTAACTATCTAAATAAACAATATTTTGGAAAAGGTTTATCACTACTGCCTAACACCCAAGTGATTCACTCAGGTATAAAAAATTAATAAATCCATTAACCTATGAAAATATTTGAGTTAAAGTTAAAATTGCTTTAATTGACTTAGTCAAGCAGAAGTAAGGAAGGAACATTTAAATTATTCAATTTGTTGAAATGGGCCGATATTTCAACTTATAACGAAGCTATCTTAATGTCTACAAAAAGTGTTTCTCAATAAGAAACACAACTATGAACAGTACACAAACACAAATAGTATACAAAGTATACAAAACACATGCTCTTAAATTGAAATGTTTAAATTGAAATGGAAACTGACATTGAGAGTCGTCACACTCAAAGTCTCCAGAATAGGCACTGACTTGTTCGAGGCTCACTGTAAACATTTTCTTGTTTATTTCAGACAGTTTTCAAAATTTCTCTTCCATATCATGGACAAGCTAGATTTAAGACCAATCACCTGAAATGTAAATAACCTATTTAGGTAAAACAAAAAACTCAGTGAAGAGTGTCAGTGAAGACCTATTGTAGTAACTTAAAAAACAGCAGAAATACATTAAACAAGTACGAGCACATCTTTTTCTTGGCTACAAATAAATCATACCAACAACATGACATAAAACAAAGAGAAAATACACCATGAAAAGGAGAAGATAATGTAAATCTGTCCCCCCTTTTGAGGTCCTCTATAATTCTAAAAGCACTTTTATCTTAAAGGATGGCAGTCTAAAGAGTTTGCACTGTACATTACAGATCAACTGCTTGTATAATAAGCATCCTTGATTATACTGCAAGGTCTTAGTTCAGATACCCACAACCTTCAGATTTATTTAATGTATTTCAACACTAGCAAAGATACAGAGGAGAAAGAAAAATTAGACAAAGGGAAATAAACAAGATGAAAGAGATAAAGTGTGTTTAACAACACAATTGTGTTATATAGAAACCATGACTCCTCATTTGTCAAATACTTTTTTTAATTGTGGCTTTTTGCTTCAGTGATTACAAACACTATTATTGTAAAATGCTTCAGAGCTCTGGGCATTGATTCTGGATTTTTTGTTACATGATTAATGGCTGGGTATTGTTTAACACAACACCATTTTCAACACAAAGCCTTCAGAAATTGAGCAGATAATGTCCTCAACTATTACAGCACAATTGTAGGGAGCTCTTTAGGTCTTTATTAAAACAAACACACTAAAGAGAAAATGTCAGCACAAATCTCTGATTAGCCTCTGAACCGGTAAGAATTAAAAATGTATTTTCTTTGGCTTTTCAGTTTAATCTTTTGTTCATTCCTAGAATCCATTTCAATGTTTTATGGCACTCTAACCCACACCTCATGTAGCCATATGTAGACAGACCATAAACTCCAAAGGCATTTTGTTACAAAAATCACTAGTATTCCTATAGCACTCGGAATTCAGTAAACTTCTGTTCTTAAACTTGATTTTCACAATATTTCACAAAACATACACAATATTTCCAACAGCATGAAAGGCTGCAATTTTTTGCTTTTCATCATTCTACCCTTCCACAAGCTTTTCAGTAGGCCTGCATGCTGCACAGTTGCTTTAATATGGTCTTCTTGAATATGCTCTGGACTATGTATTGATTTTATCAAAATGATCAATCAATTTAAAGTATACTGATATTAGTTTACCTATTATTGTGCCTTTTCACCCTGGTCACTGAAATAAATTCAAAACAAGTACATAGAGACTTACTGTGTATTGCAGAGATCATCTAAATTTTGATATTATTTCGCTTTCTGGGATTCGGCAGCCCATTTATCTATCTGCACAGTGTGATATCAAGAAACAGACATCCTTTTCTCTCCGAACACATATATTACTCCAAATATGACTCCACCTGTACTTATCTGTAACCACATGCTCATGAATTATATTAGCTTTGAATAAATGACATATACTGTAAATGTAAAGCCACATTTTATCTTATAAAAATCATTTAAATAAGTGTCTGAGAAACATAAAAAATGAAAAATATTGTACTATGAGAATAAAGACCATCTCTTTATGAAGTGAGGAACAAACTGTTTGCTGTTAATAAATAAGCATTTAAAAGAAACTTACACTGAACAAATTCCCAGTAATAACAAAGGAGATCATTAATGTTTAATGACCAATAATTCTTCAGTTACTTTCTATAGAGATAATCTTAATAGGACACTAAATAAAGCCTTTTCAACTTTAACCTTTTGATAGGACTGTTTAATGACTAAATTGTTACGTGCTTATGAAATGATGAGCACATTAGTTTATGCTATCATAAACTATTTCAGAGAGAATATATTGAACATTGACAATTTTTGTCAATAAATAATTATGTTATAAGTTAGATCACTCTACTTAACATTAGAAGGCCTTCAACATCTTAGAGGTTTCAAATTATTGTGTTGTAAAATTGCACTAGTTAAGTTCTAATCACCCTATAAAACTTATTAACATTTTTGACAAAGAAAAACAAAAATACTTAGCTGTATGCACAAACTACATCAGAGTCATCAGTTTACATGAAAAACAACCATTATATCCAACTTTCCTTTCAGTACTGGTACAGTTAAGTCAACATAATAGCAATTACTTTCCTTTAGAATTACTCACTTCCGATATAATGAATAATTATGTTACAAACAAAAAACAAATAACATTTAAGTGGGCCATTCTATACTGTACTTTAATCCGCTTATCCAGTTTCATTTTCCCATTGTTTTGTTGTTCACCCAGCAATGCAAATTCAACCAAACAAATAACCTCTCTTGGTCTCTGTCCCTGCAGTTCAATGATAGACAATTTGGTTATTCTCCCTACGAACAAAAAGAAACAAAGCCTGCAGATGCAGCAAACCGTCAGGAAAAAGAAAAGTAGTGGAGTTAGACAGTGGACCTCAAGAGGAAAATAAATTTAAAATCTTCAGCCCTGGAGATGCTATTAATCTAAGAGATGTGCAATGTGTTTTGTTCATGACATGCATGGGATGACCTGTCCCAGTGGCTGCAGTGCTCGGCTACAGCTGAGTGAAGTGTGGAGTAGCTTTGCTGGTGGGCATCCATTTTTACTATGTCTCCCTGAGAACTCACGCAGCCCTTTCAGTACACCTGACAGCTGACAGATGTTCTGTGGAAGTAAAGCTGACTGCGTTTGCCATGTATTGCCACTGCTGAATTACCTGATCGATGTTTGAATAATCTTATCAAAAGCATCCCAATAGAAGATATTATCTGCTATGGAGAACTGCAAAAGAACTGAGGAGCTTCCAGGAGTTATACCTTTGAAAATTATTTATACAGTTACCAGCATACAGTGTTGTGAATGGGATGGAAACTCACCTATTCATTATTGTATTTTAACCTAAAAGGTTGACAGTAAATTTGGTTGTCTATTTAGTTTTGTGATATATTTTATTTCTCTAAAATAAAAAGTCAATATAAAGGTTAATTTACTCAGTAAGGTTGTCTTCTTGCTACAAAGCAATTGCTTTGAAACCGTGTACACACTTTTGTGTATGCTCTGTATAAAACAATCTCAATAGTGACACCATTATTGGGACTAAGTGGTTATTCCTTATTTGCAGCTTTATACTCTCAAATCCCTCTGCTCTTCCTTTCTTTACAGTCTCAAATGCAACATCAATCCTTCCAGCTCAACCTGTACCAGTTACCATCCACCCAAAGATACGACCTGGTACAAGATCCAATAATAACATATTAAACATAGTTAAACACTGAGGCAATCATACTTTTCCAGGTTATCCTATCTTCTCAGGTATTTGGTACATATAATCCATATTACAGGCTATGGAGCAGTACAGATCTCACCTCTATGTTTCCTCTTCACAGACAGGAGAACAAAAGGTCAATCAGAGTTTGTTGGCTATGTTGCTACTTGTATTTTTCTAGAGAATTATACATTAATTTAATATCTATGGTCTGGGAAAGAGCTACAAAATTACGAACATAAGAACAAATTTAAAATGAACTTACTGTGTGTCTATAGGGTACTGAAAGTCTCAAAAAATAAAATATGTTGTCCACAAGTTCTTCAACCTGATGTTACCAAATTGAGCAATTGACATAAAGATGCCTCTTTATGGCTACAGCAGACATTTTTAAATACAGTGAACCTACGAACTTTGAGCGCTACAGATAATGAAAAACAACTTGATTCCTGAACGGATATTTTTACCTGCAATAAGAATTATCTTCTCTGTACAAATTATAAATGAACAGATCTTACTAAACACTTGCAATATGGATCATTAACAGGTCCATATTTTACTACACTTGAAAAAAAGTATTTTAAACACACTTTTTTTTGTACATCACTCCTTCTCAGCTACTTAAGTATTTTTTTATATTAAAGTGGAATTATTGTATTGCTAGCATTATTATCTAAATCCTAAGGCTATAAGGCAATAAGAAAAAAATAACATATAGTTCTATATTGCTGATTTTGATTATGTGGCTCTGGCTACGTAAGGTTGAAGATAAAAAGTCCTGCTGACTTGTAGCTCACAAAACCAATGTATGCATTTAAACTGTTTGGTACTGTAGCAGCTTTCAGCTGTAGGTCAGCAATTTTTTTCTAGACTTTTCATATATTGCACTCATGGCAAAATGTATTTAAATTCACAAAGTAAAGCAGACATATTCTTTGAGATTAACATTGATCAGTCTTACAGCTGTAAAGAATAACAAAAATGCAAAAACAGATATATGATGATATTTACTGTGTGCAAAGACTCGTATGTCCAAATATCAGAACCTGATTCCCTTGTTCAGCTAAATTTTATCCTCACTTCAGGACTATAAAGTTTGATATTGACAAACATTCAAACAGACTTCGACTCTGAGGTATCCAGGCAACATTTTTCTTCTGTATGGATATTAGTTTATTGAATAAGTGGCATCTGTTTTCCTCCACATCACAGTTAGGGTAGGTATTTCCTTTTGACAGCTTCAGTGGATTTATAGGTTTGTATGCTCTGAAGAAAAATAGTGCTAAGCAAAAAATTCCAATTCATTACCACTCAGTACTTAATTAAGTTTAGGGACGTTGCACACTGCATTTGAACCCTGAAATGAGTATGACAGCAGGAAGCATCTCTGATATTATAGATTGTTTAAGAGATGAAGTATCTTGATTTTTTATTTTATTTCTAGCAAGTAGATAATATTTTATTCTGTTTAAGGATTCATGAAGAAAGCAAAATACTATTACCAGACACAGACTTAAAGCTTAAACATTTTTAATTTGAATATATACAGTATTTATATTTAAGACTAATGTATCAGTTTAGACATTTTCTGTTTAATTCAATATGTTATAGTTTTGAACATCAGTATATACAAAATTAAAACACATAGAACCTGTTAGATCTGATGTTTTGTGTGCATTTTTAACTTGACTTATCTGCTCGAGGTTCAAATTCCCCTTATATTTTAATTACTGGATATCAGTTTAAAATACTAATATGAATCTGAAATACATTATAAAGTAAATTTTAAAAGTTAGAATGGTGAGTTTCTGCCTGAGCTTTTCCCTTCAATCACTGCTGTGTGCTAAACTACTATTAGTTGTGATACAACTCCTACAGGATTAACTACATTAACTATGTAACAAATTCAAAATTTCCTTACTATTAAGAACACCAGTCGTAGATCCCTTATAAAAATAACCTATAGATGGCCTATTTAGATTTAAGGCTAATGTATCAATTTAGAAATTTACTGTTTAATTTGGTTTGTATAGAAAGGTACCAATTCTCCAGCTGGGACATTTCTATAGAAACCCTTAAGTCATTTTGTAAGGGATGTACTGTATTTACTGAAGCTAAGAGTTCAGTTTTTTGAAGTCACTGAAATAGTATATAGTACCAGGTAAAAAGAAAGGGCAAGGAAAAACTTAAATAAAACATTATATAATAGTTTACAAAGAAAAGAAAATTATATTTTTAAATGACACAATAGATTCGGACTCTGCTGTTTACTTTATCATTATAAAAACAGTATTTTACACTATGAAATTCCTTCTTCATTTCACAATGTTTAACTAAAATCAACCCAATCTGACAACAACTTAGCTTTATTGTAAAGCAGATAGATAAACCACTTGAGAAAAGATGTATTTTTCAGGTTGCCTCATATTTTTTCTTTACATTGGAATCTCATTATGATTATTCATATTTTTTCCTTTCGATTCTTAGATTCCATTATTAAATTTACCATTAATAACAATTAATAATTAAACAAAATCCTATTTCTACATGCTCTCGGCCTTTCCTAGTTACATATTAGATCAACAAGAAGAAAACATTGAGCACAACGTAGTGAGATCAAGTGCATAAAACAAATGCATTTCACTGAGGACCCCTAGTGAAGCACTTATACAGTTCTAAAAAATGTCTAGGGTAATTTTAAAAGCCTTAAAATGAGTCATTTAAAGCAAATTAGGTAAACTTATTAAAAATAAAATGTTAATTAACTAATTGCAATGGAAAAAGTAGGAGTTGGAAAAGGAATTCTAGTCTTTTTAAAGTGCAGCAGTTACAATACATCAGAAATATGAGGTTTCTGTGAAGCCCTGAAGAGAAAACATCAAAACAATGGAAAGAACCCTAAAATAAATTTAATCTTTGTTATTATCCTCTTGGCCCTACAGATTATCTAATGGCTGCTCCAGCATCAGAGTCACTAATAGCCAAGCTTTTTTATCTTTTATCTGCAGGAACCAAAAGAGTATGTCATGTTTTGTTTTATAGAAGTAATTAACAATATATCTGGAACAAAAACTAAATTTAAATCACTTCAAAACAAACAATTTAATTATAAAGAAATCAGCATATGTCGTATTTTGTAAATTCATGGATATTTATAAATATACAAAACACATATTATCAACTTTGCACTATTTTCACTATCTTTTTTTAAATGGAACCAAAGTTTACTAATATGTTTTGTAATTAGGTCATTTTAAAGGAAAAAACCAATGTACATTACACTCATTAGGTTCAATAAAATCAATCAGAGTTAACAAATTGTGTAAAAGATTTTTTTGTTGTTTTTAGTTGTTTCCCCAAGTGGCAGAGCTGACACAGCACACTCTTCTTGTACTATTTTACTAATGGCAGTACAATTAAGATATATCATGGTAATAAATAATTAACACAGTTGCTATCATTTATCACCAGCTGATTCTGTTCCATTTCCAATCACGACTGACAAAAAATAACATTGACTATATTGTTGTTTGGAGTAAAATGGCCATGAGATTGACAATACACACATTGAAAAAATTACAAATGTTACAGCAATTAAAAAAAGTTTTTGTTTTTGCATAATCATGCCCTTTTACTCCAGTACTCTTCCAAAGCAAGAGTACAAGAAAGCACACACACTAATCAATTAAAAATACCTGAAGTATAAAGTGTATTCACTACAAAGCTACCCATTTTAAAGTCTATCTTTTTTATCCCAAATGCCAGAAATTAAAACAATGTTTATAGATTATTTAATGACTGAATTCTTTCATCATAAAGACCGTTTTTCAACATAAAAAAACCTTTTTGTTATCAAGGGTAAAACTCTGTCTCAACATATCTGTATTTAATTCCCACCTAATCCCTATTGGTCGGGCTGTTAACAACCACAATGATCTACCCATCTTTAAAAAGGAGTAGCGCTCTAGAGAGAGAGTTCCTCTTTCTTGAGAAGAAGGAAATTAATCTCTTAGGAACTGTGGCTATAAAAAAAAAGAGGGAAAGTATACAGTCATTTACCTCAAGGAAAACAAGAGGAGCAAAGAAGTTAGGTACTTTAGTCATTGAAAAGGGATGTGTAAATGAGTAAATAAGTGGTGCAAAGAAGAAAATATGAGCCTTCAGCTCTAAAGCACTGGAGGTATCTGCTTTACCTGTCAGGATTCTGTGTGCACACATGCATCTGAAGGAGGATTCGCTGAGTGAAAGTCTTAAAGCATTGACCACACTTCCAAAGGTGCCAGTCGCTGAACTCTGTGCTCAGTTGGCTTGTAGACGTTGGGCTGGCGAGAACCCGCTGGTTTTTGGCATTCATCTGGTTAAACCCAGATTCTCCATGCCCAGGCTTGTCCAAAAGAGAGAAGCTCCTTGTGCAGGGAGAGTGTGGGAAGACCATGGACCGGAGCAGTGCAACCGAGGGAGGTTTGCCGGTCTTGTTGAAGGGCTGAAGAGTCTCCTGTCTGGACATCGCTTCCATGACAGATGCTGGGACGTTCACTGTAAAAAAAAAAAACACAAAAAAACAATTACACATAAATATATACTCAGGGATTCAAAGTATAAAAGCTGCAAATAAGTGTAAACATTTTATTTTTGCAATCAATTTTAAGTAATTGCTTACTTTTACATTTATATACAACAGTTTCAGTTTAATTAAAAATATTTTCTTCCAATCAATCTTGTTTGGACAATGGAAACTCCGACAGTACAAAAGTACATTCAACCAAATATGATATTAAATAAGAAAAGGTATAGTTCTAGATATGGAAATAGTGAAGCATGATCTCCTATTAGGACATGGGGTATGACACTAATTTAGAAATAAATGATAAGTAAAAACAGCTGGTTGAAGACGTATATGCCCAAAACATTTTTTTTTTATTTTTGCTGTTATCAAAAACATGTGAAGCTTCCTAAAAACAGTTTTATATTAAACTTTGAATCAGGCCATATTCAAGAAGCCAAAGCCATGAAGGCTTATGTGAGGACAAACCACACATTCTTACCACTACCACATGCTGTGTACAAAAATAAAGAGATACACAAAAAGAGTAATACTATACATGTGGGATATAGTGTAGAGCCCTCTTAATTTAATAAACTCAGTGTATCTTGTGTTCATCAGAATAGGAATATGAGTTACATTCTATCTATGAATGTACAGATTTTGATGTTAGATCTTCCGTGCCTCAGAGAAAAGAATTTAAATCAAAATAATTTAATAAAAACATTTTAGCAAAAGGGATTTTGAAAACTTTACAATTATTCCCTGGCACGGTGATTTCAAAAACATTGCTACTTCACAGGCATTTGAGTAAATCTCAATCAGCTATCCAAAATGCTGTCATCATCAGGACATGTTGAACATACTGAACTGTATTAAAACCCTCTGTTATTTTTCAGATAGTTCATTAAGATATTGCATAACACTGACATAAAGTCAGTGAAAGATATAGTTGCAGATCTTAATTGTGTGACTTTATTTGTGCAAGCAGGGTAATTTGGGATTAAAAGGCTCATGTTAAGCAAACAAAACAAATCACAAAAATATTTTGTCAGTTGTACAATAATAACTGAATTGCTATTCAGATTAATAGCATAATGACTGAATTGTTATTGAGTTTTTTTTCGCATTTTTCTTTACCAACGTCATGAACAGCTTGATTTTTTAAATTCATTAACACACTTCAAAGAATTTTAACAAACCAGTACAGTAAAAACAGCTTTATACATTTTAAATAAACTGTTTTTTAATTTTTTACGTGATATATTTGATTGCTGAAGGTGAAACACATTTAAGTGCTGTTGACTTTTTATTATATCTGTTTATTAAATTTAAATATTATTAAATCATCACTAAATTGTACTTCAGAATGTTAAAGAGAGCACTAACATAAAAGCATATGGAAGCAGCACATGAAACAGAAATAGACATTTTCTTTTTAAGTGGCCTCTGGACTTTCAAGAATACTTTTATTAAAGACTAAATGTAAGGCACAGTAAGGCAGTTTCCACCACAACTTCTCAGATCGGGAAGGAAAATGGTTGCCACTCATTAAAATAATAATAGTCCCCTTTCTAAATCTCACATGTCTAGTGAGCTCTCATTGATGACTTAATTTGTTGCTGTTTTGCTGGTTTTGTGTTGAGACTACCTTTTTGTGCCAAGATTATTATTCAATCATTGTATTTAACTAACAATGACATTACAGTTCATCATCTAAATTAAACATGTGCCTAAACATAACTTTTTACAAGACTTAAATAATAAAATGTTTAACATGTCAACACATTATGGTTAAGACCCTGTCAGCTTTCCAAGGACTCCACCATCCAATGAGTTCCAAAGAAACCAGAGTTAACAGCATGGGGCAAAATACTAAGAGTGGGATTACAAGCAGTAATTCACAACTTACAGCACTGCAGCCTTTAACTTGTCAGAGCAAGAGTGTGGTTTAAATCAATTATTATATTTGTGTTTGCTCTGTAAGGATCTGGGGGGCTAAAATGCTAATATCCCCAAACCACAGACATCTTAAACAACATGAATCAGGATATAGATGTGGACAAAATATTTGATAACATATGAAGTCATGTCTAATTACATACTGTATGAGTAGCTTCATTGCTCTGCTTCCACGAATGCCATGGAGAAATATTACCCTATTTAACAATCTTTAAGGCAGACAAAAGGTTTAGGTTTATGGCTCATACTGTATATTTCAGATAGACACAATAGCACTGTTATTCTCTGTATCCTGAATGGTAAATTGGACACACCAAACCACAAATGCTTTTAATTTTGTGTTTACTCTAAAGCAAATAACCATTTGTTTTGTTTATTTTTTTAGGGGGAAAAATGAGTTTCACATATTCATAGAAATAATGAGACCAGGAGTAAACAGGATTTTAATCTGAGACTGGCAGTGTGAAATACATTTGTGGTGTACAGTATATGACCAAAATATAATTTTATATAAGAGTCAACATAGCCTGTAGTGACATGAATAGCTGTGAATGGATTTTGATTTTCAACATATGTACTAAAATTAACAAAACATACAGATTAGCCGATTCTATCGACACTTGCTGACACAAATGTAGTCAAAGATAAGACAACATGTGTTCTTACAGTTCTCATCCTGTGCAATGCACTGAAGAGGGATTCCAAAGAAGGATGTGTAGCTGTCATTGTACCAGACGAGTAGCTCTGTTCCTCTGGGAATATCCATGCATGCTCTGTAGAATATACACGATCTGGACACAGGAGAAAAACAACAGCCTTATAAGATTTTGAGTAAGCCTGCTTTATTGTTAATTTATTCTCTTAAGTTTATGGTGAATTTGTAAGGAAATACAACTATGATATATCCTATTAAAAATGTCTTGCATAAAGAAAAGGAATGATACAAAACCTCACAACACTGTGATAAAAAGATTTTAAATTTGAAGTTAGATATAAGAGTAAAGCATCATCCATCAGAAGTTTCATAAAAGGAACTCTATATATTAGATATAATATATTATATTTCAAACTTGTGCTCAAATCAGAAGAGTGTAAATCTTCATATACAGTAGCAAAAGTGAACAAACTTACTTAAATACATTTCCAAAATGACATAAATAACAGGAAGTTTTTTTTCCATAGTAAATAGAATTAATGTTTATTTCACTGCTGATTCTGACATCTTTAGAATAAGCAGTGAAACACAAACTAAAAGACACAAGTGGAAATGATCTCACTATGTGAAAATGCATTGAAAACTCAGTGCAGGAGGCACTTTTTGATACTACACACTCGCTTATTTTCTGCTGCTAGCACCCAAACATGTTAGATGGGCTAAATAGACTCCTCATGTTTGTTTTTTATGTTCTTAAATAAAATAAATGTTGCATCATCATTATCCTGAAGAACCACGTCAGATTGCTCTCTGCAGGCCTTAAACTGAAGTTTTACCAAGAAAAATTGCCAGTGCCCGTGTAATCTGTTCTTTTTTTAACACTGCAGACATAGAAAGAACCCTTTGCAACATTTTTCATGGCAGTGAGATATGCACTTGTCAACATATTTTGTCACCGCAAAGCGGCCTCTGGCAACAGGATTATAGAGATCAATACAAAACTGCAGAATCTCAATATTTTACTTGCAGCTGCAAAAGTTTCATTTATCTTCTTGTTTTCTACGCACGCTGCCATGCTGTATTTCCTAGACTTTGCTAGCTAAGCACAATGTTTTTCTATCTTTTGGGGGGCTGGAAATAAATAAATAAATCAGAAAATTCTATGAATATCTGACAAAAACTCTGCTTTGGTCTTGAAAGAGGTGCTGAAGCCCGTGAATTTTATTAATTCTTTCCACTACTACATAAAACTAAAACAAGGGAAAGCCCATAAATCACACCCATCTCGTAACCTGAGAAAAAACACGAGCATACTTTGTACTTTATCCTTGTAACATTTCATCTCTCAGTTTGGCTTCACTTAACATAAACAATCCTGCACACAAATAAATGTACTAAGACTAAATGACTGCGTTTGCCGCTGAAAGAGCGCTGTTTTTAAGCAATGGGTGGTCTCACAGACTTTGCAAGAGGGGTGAAAAAAGTGTAAGTGTACACCGTTTCTCACAAGCAGGCAGTCGGTTCCAAAACTTGCGCACATCTCAGTGAGCTAAAGGACATCAAAGGCATTTTTATTTCATTTTGGATAATATTTCCCTTGCTGACATGTATTTAGTATTGTGGTTGGATGACTCATAAAGATAACTGCATGGTGTCCCAACACAGTCAAAGTAGAACACATGCCAATGGACATTATTGTCGGCCTCAAAATAAAAACAAAACCTTCAGCTAAGGGTCAATCAATCATGAAATTCTTTGAAGAGAATTCCATTTAGATACAGCAAATCATAACATATGGAATTCAAACCAGCTGATTCCCGGTGAGGAGGACATCTTTGCACAGCACAGATAGCTCTGGCACTTTAATGTCCACATTTTGTGTTTGCTTATATATGGGCACGCAAAAATAGGACAGGGGGTTTTGGAATTTCCCTTTTGGAGGTCTTTATAGTTTATTTAAAAAAGCTGTTCTGGCACTGAAAATATATATGTACAGCCTTAAAAGGAAAAGAAGGCCGTAATTAAAGAGATCTTGTGAAATACTGTATGATTTTGTTTCACTATACATTTCCAAACGTTTTCTTTCTACATCAACACAATGTTACATTGGCATGACTTTTGTAGTGCGAACAGAATCCTTTAAAAAATGAAATCTGATTATTAATCACAAAATCTTTCAGTTTCAAACTAATATATGTAAGACACACTTCAATACCTTATGCGTCGTGTATCCTGCCAATTCTCCAATTAGGACATAAATAGGACATATTTGTCTTAATATTATAATCGTATTAATTTTTAGCTACTCTAACTTATTAATGATGGTGCCAGTTTAATCTATGTAGAAAACAGATTTTGTAATGATTTATCTTTACTTTAATAGAATTCACACACCCTACAAACTACCATAACTAAATAAAACAAAACCATCTATACATCTGTTTATTATTCAAAAATTCTCTTTGTTCTTCATATCCTTTTGAGTTTTTTTTTACTTCCCAAAGAACTCTTCTTCTGCTATTTGGAGTAATGTCCCTTGGTCTTTCCCATGGTTAAAGATTCTGACTTCCACAATATTATTGAAATCTTGAAGGTTTTTTTATGCTGCTGCCTACCCATCTCACTTTTTCAACACTGCACAACCGATGGATGTCCTTTTGTTTGAGCGCTTTTGATTCCAATTACTTTTTCAGTGCATGTTCTTTTAAATTTGATTAAATTTGATTTTTAATTGAAAGTTATTTTATAACACAGTAAAACAAATGTTCACCTCTTGGCAATTCCTGGTCAAGACCAGGTTAAAAAAACACCACAACCCTGAAAGGTACTGTATTCCATGTAAAGAATAATCTATATTTCCATTTCACTGCTCAAAGGTAGGTAAAACACACTGATGAGCCCTAATAAGTGTAAAACTGTTGTCCATGACTGCTTACAGTAACTTCTTATACTGTACAGTACACACTGGTATACTATTAGTGGTATGAAAGTCCAGAGGGGTGAGATGAGTGGTGGGCAATTGAACAGAGAACACTAGGCCTGAGAGAGGTGAAGTCAGATGGGGAATACATTGCTTACCACACACCAGTGACGTCTATCTCTGGATGGTTGCCTGCAAGTCTGGGTGTTGTACCAATTCTCCACGCAGCATAGCAGCCCTGCTGTTTGTGATCTTATTTGTGAAGTGGAAGTCAGTTTCATTAAGACTCATGTATGTGTCTTCATCTATCATGGACTAGTGTGGGTATGTGATTTTTAAATCTGCCTTAGCTGGGTAAAAGTTGTAAAGGGCGATGGGGACTCCCGGGTAATTCAGTACACGAGAATGGTTTACAAAAACTAAACATATTAATGAATGAATCATTTTATGAAAGATCACACAACGTGCATACTCTCTCCTTCAACAGAGGAGAGCTCTAGTAAAACGCAATTACACTCAGTAATGACTTAAATTAAATTTAAAACTTCAATAAACAGTTACCTCTTAATTTGTTTGTATGCTGAACTGAAGAGTATTGGAGAATTTTTTCCTAGTTTTGCCTACAACTATCATCTGTAGACTGGGAGAAGTCCTGGCTATTTTCCAATATTTGTGCTTACAAATGAACAATACACTCTGAGAGATTAATATCCAATGAAATTGTTTAATCAGAAGTCTTTTGCACCAGGTAAACCTAAATAGCAGATATTGGTATGACTTTTGGAAATGAACATTAAGATGTTCTCCACTTCATTTTGGAAAATTGTGTTTGCTGTAAAAAGATTTCAATCTGAACCTTAATTCTAGATGATATACAAAGTTAGGATGTGGAAAATATAGAACCATTGATGTTTTGTGATAGATTCTATTTTTGTGATAGAAAACATGAGTTTTAAGGGCATAATAAAATAGAATTATCTGATACATAACACAATGGTAAACCAATACACTGTAAATACAAAAGAAAACTCCAAAACTTAAGTATTTTCACAGCCACAGAGTGACTTTCTTGTTTTCATTCCTGTTTGAATTTTAATTTATGCATTTTATCAAAGTCATGTGGAGCTGCTTATTGAATGGATGCACTTCATTAAATCTACATTATCCATGTAGAACATTTTAATGAATAAGGTAATGATACTGTAGCTATCATCAAAATTGCATTTATTCATACATAGCTGCATCTATAACCAATAATGAAGCAATGATAAAGTTCACTTTTACAGTCTCCAAACCATTTAGACATGTATCAGACAGTGACCTTAATGCTTTTAATTTGGCATATTAAAATCTATTTCGAGCTCCAACTGCCAAAACATAATTGTCTGCTGGTCTACTGTTTCGGCTTGAAGTTGTCAAATGAGCGGACGCTTTAGCACAGACTGAAGAGATGGAAATCACTGTGATCTGGATGGTTCAGAGCTTCCAGACTGTAATGTCATAAACACTCATGGCTCACACATCCACAGCATGAGCGTCCCATACCACGAGGTGCTAGCATACATGAAGATACTATATACGTAAATTGAGTCCCTGTACTGTACCTAAATAAGATACCTTTACATTTGCAGGCAGAAAACAAATTGTGCTTCTGTGTTTAATCTTCTTAGCACAAGTCCAACTACTGTACAGTACCTCTAAAGTGGTACTTGATCTTATCACAGACAGGTGACACAATTCAGTAACTTTCAATGTCTCATGAAGAAGCAGACGATGGTGCTACTGTGCTCTATGTATTCAACTAGTGTATGAACGTCTTCTGAGCTTAATAAGTGCAATTCAGTTACAGGTATCACAGGTGAAAATCCTTGTCTGACTTCACAACAACTACATGTAAATGCTTGCGAATCAGATCAGCAAACCATGTCATACCTATATTGAACCACCATCATGTTCTGCTCTCCACAGTGTCTTGCACATCGGATATATCTCATCCAGCTCGACTTGCCGGGCTCGCTGCCATCGATAAAGTGCTGTAATGTCCCTTCCTGGTCATAAATCTGAAAAATAAGCCAAAGGGTTAATTCAGTAAATAACTGGGGCAATTCAGATTACACTAGAAATATTTGAAATTGCTTTATTTCAGATCGTCTTTCCTCGAAATGTTAATGGCTTGTGAGTACACAACTTTCCAAAATATAGCACCAGATATCTGGAAACAATGAATAAAATGATTGTAATATGATTTTATAGTACTTTTAATGCCAGTGACTAAAGGATTTGTATTTTGTTCTCAAAAGTACTTTTAAACTTTTTTTATAATAACACATTTTATATTGATTCCCAAAATAAATTCAGATTTCACAAAAAAAAAACATTCAGGGAATAGATTTCTAAATTATTTTAAACATAGACGTACTTTAAAGGAAAATCGGACAATGAAAAGCAAAATGACAGCATTACAATCAGCAACATGTACTGTATGATCTTCCTTAGCACTAAATGAATTCTGGCAGTGCTGATGCAAAGACTTGATCAGGTTCTGCCACTCTTCCTGTTCCTCTGTAGTCACAGTTGTCTCTTGTTGTTGGCCTTGTCAAACTGTCCCACAGATGTGGATCAGAAGAAAAAGACAGCCATAGGATGGGGATGAATGGCATGGGAGGTTGATAGCTTAAGCTACAGCTTCTGCTGGTGTCATATTACTTCATCTTATAATACTTAACGCTTGCTAATTGTTTTATAAGAATTGTGTTTGTAAGCCACCAGAGATTATGAAAATGCTGATCCTTGACATGTTGTTCCCACAGTTAAAAAAGCTGAAAGAACTGGATTCTGACAAACTAACTTAGATGGATGCTCTCCGGAAGTAATCTACAGTATGGAAGAGCAAGTGCAGTTTGGAAAAACTGATCAAGCTGGAGGATTGCTTTAATCAAAACAATATTTGGAAGGTGCATATGCTAGATGGATGTGAGCATGAACATCTTGTGAAGAACGCTTTGCTTTGTAGTGTACAATTTATGAAATTGCTCTTCTAGATTTGGCAACAAGTCCCTGGTGTTTAATTCCAAAGTTCTCATCTAATTTGTTTTATTAGATTTTATAGTTCACAGTTGTCAAAGTCCTCCATGTTGGTGGATAGCATTTGTTTATTTCAGCACAGCAAGCTGCATTCATTGTTAAGTGGTCACCATATCAGATCTGATGTTTGCAGGGTTTCTAATAAATATTTCTATCAGGGTGTGAAAAATTAGGGAGACTGGCATATTTGTTAACTAATATTTCAGTTTGTCTTATCTTAGACCACTAAAATAATCAACCCATATATTTATTTTTTGTAACATATACAGTACCTAACTGAAACCTAAACTGACTAAGAATTATGTCATTTTGGGTCAAATCTGATATGGCGTTATAAAGCACATACTTACAGTAACATATCAAATCAAAGGAGTCAAGTGCCCAGACTCTATTGAAAAAATACAGCAGTCTCTGATTTATTAAAATTTAATTTAAATTCTTTTAAAATTCTTATCTAACTCCATTAACTGCTGCTTATACTTACCAAAAAATTAAAAGAAGCTTGCAGGAACATGTCAGTCTCTCATAACAAGTTTTACCTTTAGAATATATGTGTATGTCAATAAACGAATATGCTTATTTTTAAAAAAAGGTTAAAAATTAGTTTCCACAAGTGGCACAGTTGTTGGCTGAGTGCAATGGAAAGTAGGGGTGGAATAGAGCAGTGACCCAAGAAGAATACACAATTGAATAATACAAAAATTAATCCATATCAATGATATATCAAAATAGCAGATTATTCTAAATTGAAAAAAAATCAAGTGAGTTTGAAAAAAAAAAATCAAATTAGACCAAATGAGATGGTCAACAGCTCAATAATAAAGTGTTAGTTGGAAGTAGAAGGTCAAAATGTCAAAACAGACATGTCCATCGCAAAGAAATGAAAAAACTGAGCCTTGTACAGGATGTTGTAAAAGTTAGATTCTTGCCTTCAGTCTGTGACTGGCTGGCACTACTTACTATTGTAAAGAATCTGAGTGTAATAAAAATGGAACAGCAGGGTAAAAATGATGGTCTTATGAAACGAAACAGCATATCTAATAATGCACTCCTAATGTCTACAGCTATCTGGAATCCTACCAGTGCACTATATTTATAAAATAGTATTGCTTAACCTGGAGAGAGATAGGAGGATGTAAGTGGGTCATCTCTATAAATCATTATGAGTGTTTCATTGTTGAGGAGGAAAGACTCAAAACGAATTGTTTAAATCCAGCCTCTGAATGCTCACATGTATGTTTTAGCTTCAGTATTACCTTTTAAACATTTGCCAAGATTAATAAGCAGTCTGACAACCTTAAAATACTCCCATTTATCAGCTTTTTCTTCATAGCTCTGAAAAGCTTTTCAAGCATGATGGCAGGTCAGTTAGGTTAATACGAATGTTGTAAGAAATTATTTTCTGCATGTTTACCATTACCTTTTCTGTGTAACAATTCTTCAAGTAAAACGGAATACTGACTGTAAATATTATAATATAGCTATAAATCTGGCCCAACATTTTGCTTCAAGTTAAAGTGCGACACAGCAACTCTGATCCTCTGAATGATAGACTTGTCTGACTACCTTATATTTATGCTTTAATGCTGTTTTCAATTTTAATTAAACATAATTATATAATATTCCCTGATTTATATTGGCATCATTTAACAGTAAAAAATGCAACTGTGTGGTAGTACATAAATGCATGTTAATACTGCACAATTCCTAATATGAACAAATTGCTGATATAACTATGTCATTATTAAAAATTATAGCTCTTGAAAAATGTTATGTAATGCTAAAAAATAAGTTTTGAAAAGATCTCTCAAACACTTGTCAATGAACTTACTTATCTCTACTGATTTCACAGGCTTTGCACTTACTAAATGACCAAATAATGATATTTTACATACATCATTTTATTTGTTCACAGATCATTTGTCATGAAGTCTATGTTTCAGGACATCTGCCGAATTTGTCAGATTTTTGGAGCGCCTGACCTTGCGGAGTCTCTGTACGTGTGTCTGGACTAATTCCCCTCCCTTATCCCTATGGCTTTCTTTTGGAACGTCAAACTACCAGTTTTGACAGCATGACAGATATCTTTTGTTCACAACAAATTAGCTCCTTTTTTAAACTGGATATATGGAGTTCTTGAAAAGGTTTGTTTTTTATATTTGTCAATTTCAATTAATCTAGGAAAAGCAAGATAATGTACAAACTGAATGAAAAAGAAAGGCATACATAACATGGTACATCTGAAGCAGCAACATTAGGACTTTAAAAGTATGAAATTATCTTAGATTTTTAAGGGGGTACTTTAAGGACTACTTAGACATGTGTGCTATTGAGTAAGGAAAAAGGAGCTATGCATGGAATCCAGTAAGAACTCTGTAGGTGTCTCTTTGAATCCCAAAGTATAAAAAGCAAATCAATTCTAAGGCTACATTAAAAGTATAATTGCATAACTTTATACTTGTCATTTTGTGTTTTTTGAGCTACTACATTGTTCGACGCTAATCCAATATACTGTATATGAAATCTAAACTTTTTGTCAAAAACTCATAAATACTATTATAAATAAATACATAGCAGAGCCTGTGGTCTATCTTGTATGAAAAACCACTTCTCTGTTATTGCCAATAAAGTTACAAGCTGTGTTGCTTAAATTTAGACTACAATTGCCAACAGTTAAGACAGAAGTGGTCTGTTCATTATATTATCATTGTGTAGTCAAAACAATTACAGCAATCTTGTTTTAATTTAACATACAGTCATGTACATGAAAAAAGTCAAGAAATGTAGGTGAAAAGTGGATCTACTGATGTCAGCTTGTAATAGTCATAAAGTTAGCTCGAATTTAGTCTACAGATGTCCAGTTTCTACCTTAATCTAGTCAATTAACATTTTTTTCTGAGCTTTATCTAACAGGAAGATGACAATGTATACCAATCTGTGTGTCCACTTCAATACCAACTTGCTACAATAGTGTGAGTATTTTTTAATTCTCATCCTCTGAATATTCATATGATAGTGTTAGTGTAGATGGTGGATTTAAGAAGATCCCCCTTAAGAAAGTTTAAAAATCCCTTAGAGAATTACTCTACTTTGAAATGGTAAAATATTTGTATGCTTATTATGTTTCCAAATATAGAACAAGTTACCCCTTTCCAAAAATAGATAAAAAGCATTTTGAAAATATATCTTCTATATATATTTTGCACACAAAAATATGTGCTACAAACCTAGCGCAGATGAGAGCAGACAGTCTGGAACAAAGCAGTATGTGAGAACTCTGATGCTATGACTTATTTGAAAACCAAAAAAACACATTTTATGAAATTTTGAGGGCGCTATTTCAATGTACAGTCGCTATTTTTATCTATATAACTGTATGTACATTGTATTTCAATACCATTAAAAGTTAAATCAGACCATTTTAAGTCACCAAATGGGTACAATTCATTTAAATAATTGACTATACAATTATCTTACAAATTCCTTAGCAGATAAGATCTTTTTTTTAAGGTTGCGTGTTTAGATAAGATGGTAGCCCCATGAGCCCACTAGTGGAGTGGGTGTAGTCGTCCCTCTTTCTCCATCAATATCTCACTTATCTCCAAGGGCGGCAGGGCCATCACCAGAGAGTGGGCCATCAATCAATGTGTGGTCTCCTTCAGACATGTCACGCCAGCTGATCAGAGGGAGACGTTCAGGGGAATCAGCTTTTCATTATCAGGACTTGGTCTGTGATCAGAACAAGCCACTGAACCTTTTACTTTTCACTTAGAAAAAACGTATCCACTGGAAAAAAGTCCTGACAGTTCATTCGTTTTGCTTTACTGTGGAACCATATGATGTTTGACTGGAAGGACCCACCCTCTTTGATGTTGTATGCTTTCCAGAGTGTCCTGCTGTGAAAAAAAAAATCTCATCCTCCTGAATTGTGGAGAAATATTTCTGCACCCAGCTGCTAAATGTGACATGTTTGCCA